ACCGCAGTACGGGACAGACGATTGGTACAGGGCGTGAATCAGAAGGCCTTTACTACCTTAACTCACTCAATCCCTCCAAGGCATGTCTAGTTATAGATTCTCCAGACCTAATTCACAGACGTTTAGGACATCCGAGTTTATCCAAGCTTCAGAAGATGGTGCCTAGTTTGTCTAGTTTATCTACATTATTGGGAGTCGTGTCAGCTCGGCAAACATACCCGAGCCTACTTTCCTCGTAGTGTTGGGAGTCATGCAGAGTCTGTTTTTTCTTTAGTTCATTCTGATATATGGGGTCCTAGTAGAGTCAGTTCAACCTTGGGATTTCGCTATTTTGTTAGTTTCATTGATGATTATTCAAGATGTACTTGGATTTTCTTAATGAAAGATCGTTCTGAGTTTTTTTTATATTCCAGAATTTTTGTGCTGAAATCAAAAATCAATTTGGTGTTTATATTCGCACTTTTCGCAGTGATAATGCCTTAGAATATTTATCCTTTCAGTTTCAGCAGTTTATGACTTCTCAAGGAATTATTCATCGAACCTCTTGTCCTTATACCCCTCAGCAAAATGGGGTTGCAGAGAGAAAGAATAGGCACCTCATTGAGACTGCTCGCACACTTCTCATTGAATCTCATATTCCGGTGCGTTTCTTGGGCGATGCAGTTCTCACAGCTTGTTATTTTATTAATGGATGCCTTCATCTCCCATCCAGAATCAGATTCCGTATTCAGTATTGTTTCCCCGATCACCCTTATATTTTTTTCCCCCTCGTATTTTTGGGAGCACATGTTTAGTTCATAACTTAGCCCCTGGGAAAGATAAGTTAGCTCTTCATGCTCTCAAGTGTGTCTTCCTTGATTATTCTCGTGTTCAAAAGGAATATCGTTGTTACTCACCTGATCTTCATAGGTACCTTATGTCAACTGACGTTACATTTTTTTGAGTCTAAACCTTTCTTTACCTCTTCTGACCACCTTGATATATCTGAGGTCTTACCTATACCGACCTTTGAGGAGTTTACTATATCTCCTCCTTCACTTTCCGCCACAGAAGTTTTACCCATTCCAACCGTTGAGCAGTCTAGTGTTGCTCCTCCTAGATCCCCCGCCACATGAACACCACTCTTGACTTATCATAGTCGTCCGCGCCCAGCATTAGGCCTAGCTGATTCACGTCCTACACCTGACCCTGCTCCTACTGCGGACTTGTCTCTTCCCAGTACACCGATTGCACTTCGGAAAGGTATACGGACCACACTTAATCCTAATCCCCATTATGTCGATTTAAATTATCATCGTCTGCCATCACCCCATTATGCTTTTATATCTTCTTTGTCCTCTGTTTCCATCCTACGTCTACAGGTAAAGCATTGTCTCATCCAGGATGGCGACATGCTATGATTGACGAAATGTCTGCTTTACATACGAGTGGTACTTGGGATCTTGCTCATCTTACTTAAGGTAAATCTACTGTTGGTTGTCGTTGGGTTTATGCAGTCAAAGTTGGTCCGGATGGCCAGGTTGATCAATTTAAGGCCCGGCTTGTTGCCAAATGATATACTCAGATATTTAGGCTAAACTACAGTGATATTTTCTCTCCCGTAGCTAAAATAGCAAAAGTCCGTCTTTTTCTATCCATGGTTGTTGTTCGCCATTGGCCTCTCTATCAACTGGACATTAAGAATGTTTTTCTTCACTGTGACCTTGAAGATGAAGTTTATATGGAGCAACCACCTAGTTTTGTTGCTCAGGGGAGTCTCGTGGCCTTGTACGTCGCTTGCGCTGGTCACTTTATGGTCTAAAGCAGTCTCCTCGAGCCTGGTTTGGTAAGTTCAGCATAGTTATCCAGGAGTTTGGCATGACTCGTAGTGAAGCTGATCACTCTGTGTTTTATCGGCATTCTGCCTCAAGTCTTTGTATTTATCTGGTGGTCTATGTTGACAATATTGTTATTACCGGCAATGATCAGGATGATATTACTAAGTTGAAGCAACATATCTTTCAACACTTTCAGACTAAGCATCTGGGCAAATTAAAGTATTTTCTAGGTATTGAGGTCGCTCAGTCTAGCTCAGGTATTGTGATCTCACAACAGAAGTATGCCCTAGACATTCTTGAGGAGACAGGAATGACAAGTTGTAGACTTGTTAACACTCCGATGGATCCGAATTCAAAACTTCTGCCAGGACAGGGGGTGTTGCTTAGTGATCCTGCAAGATATAGGCAGCTAGTTTGTAAATTAAATTATCTCACAGTGACTAGACCTGATATTTCCTTTCCTGTGAGTGTTGTAAGTCAGTTTATGGATTCTCCATGTGATAGTCATTGAGATGCAGTTGTACACATTCTTCGGTATATAAAGTTGGCTCCAGGCAAAGGATTATTGTTTGATGATCGAGGCCATGAGCAGATCGTTGGATATCCACATGTTGATTGGGCAGGATCACTTTCTGATAGACGTTCTACGTCTGGATATTGTGTTTTAGTGTGAGGCAATTTGGTGTCTTGGAAAAGCAAGAAACAGAATTTAGTTGCTCGGTTCAGTGCAGAAGCAGAATATCGAGCAATGGCTATGTCAACATGTGAGTTAGTTTGGGTCAAGCAGTTGCTCAAGGAGTTGAAATTTGGTGAAATCAGCCAGATAGAACTTGTGTGTGACAATCAAGTTGCCCTTCATATTGCATCAAATCCGATGTTCCATGAGAGAACTAAACACATTGAGATTGACTGTCACTTCGTTAGAGAAAAGATACTCTCAGGAGATATTGCTACAAAGTTTGTGAAGTCGAATGATCAGCTTGCAGATATTTTCACCAATTCCCTCACTGGTCCTAGTATTGATTTATACGCACCGGCTTAAGGGAGAGTGTTAGTTAGTAAGTTGTTGTGTAAATAAGAATAGTCCTACATGGAATAGGAGTAGTGTAGGTATTGTGTATTGTTATAAATAGGGGTACTTGTATTATAGTTAAAGTAATCAATAATATAATTTTCGGTGTATTATTTCTCACAAGGCTGATTTGGATCAATAGCAGGGATAAGTTACTTTCAGTGAAACAATTGCTAAAAGATGTTGCTGCAGCAAAATAGTCAAGGAATCCTAATTGGCCTTGGGAAGTGATCTGGAAAACAAAAGTACCGGTGAAAGCAGCCTATTTTGGATGGATAGCAGGTACGAGTGCTTGTCTAACTCAAAATAAATTGCAGAGAAGAGGCTTTTCATTATGCAGAAGATGTTACTTCTGTAACTCAGAGCAGGAAACTGTTAAGCATTTATTCTTGCACTGTATATTCTCAAGGCAATGTTGGGAATTGTTTCTTAACATCATGGGCATAACCCTGGTGTTACCACATAAGATCAGTGATATGTTGATAATGTGGCAGTCTCAAAGAGTCAAAAGGAATTTACAGCAAATCTGGAAAACCATCCCTAATTGCATTTTATGGACTTTATGGCTAGAGAGGATCAAGGATGCTTCGAAGGGAAGAGATTGCAAATATCTAGAGTAAAAAACAAATGTATTAAGAACTTGTATTTGTGGTGTTATAGTAATACCCTAGATAGGATGGATCAATATCTGGGTTTTTTTTTACTTACTAGGGGGAAATATGTAACTATGTTGGTGAAAAAGTTATACTGAAGCCTTGTACTTTGTTTTCTGTTCCTTCTTGGTTCTGGTTTATTTTTTTTACTTACTAGGGGGAAAGATGTAACTACGTTGGTGAAAAAGTTATACTGAAGCCTTGTACTTTGTTTTCTGTACCATCTTGGTACTAGTTGAATAATAAAACCTTTTACTTATCAAAGAAAAGTGCAGAGACAATTGTGTAAGGAAGGACTGAGCTGTTCACCACCGTTGTTAGTTATCTTGTACAAACATTGAGATGGCTCAAAAAAGTTGTAAGTTCTATTGACTGACAAGATCTTGTAAGGAAGTATTTAATTTTTCTTTACCTGTCTTAGATGAACATATAAGAAGCTCTTGTTTAATGTTCTCAATTATTTTCTCAAACAAGAGAAATACATGTGAACAAATGAACTAAATCTGATAAAAAAGCAAAAAGATATCCTTTTTGGTCTATTCCTTTCGAGTTTGTTCTTTCATTATCTCGACAAAGTACACATAATACCCCCCTCTATTAAAGAATGTTATCATCTATCTTCTCACAGTCCTCTATATTTAAGAAATACCCCCTTTTAGAATAAGCTCCAAAGGGCTAGTGTACATGAAAACCTAGATAAGAAGTCAAAGCACAACGGATAAAATGATCCGATAGCTCAAAACTAATAGTAGTACTTCTGAGAAAAAGACAATCTAGTCATTGGTCAACATTGTGCAAAAAATCTTTGGTCCAACTACGATGTGTCAAGCATAGTGACCTCAATCCAAACTCTCCAGTCCACATCTTTCTATATATAGATATAGCAATTTCGTCGTCCTTTTTGTTTGTTTTGGAGGTAGATGTAAAGAGAAGAACTACAAGAAAGTAAAAGCCTAGTACTGGAAAAGCCAATCAATCTCTAGGATGCTTTTCAACTAAGTTGACAGATCAACTATGTAAGTCGTAGCGCGGTAGCGCGAGTACTCTTCCTCTATGAGCTTGTCAGCTTCTATGGCATAAGCTTTAGATCTATCAACAAATAATAAACATTTCATAAGAAAAGAAAAATAATTGTTTAAATCTCAAAGAAATGTATAGGTGAAATTTGGAACAGTCAGCCACTATACTTTTCTTTTTTTATCTTCTTTGTCTAGTTCAATTGATTTCTTTCAATCCCTACTTGAAAAGGTTGGGTTCTCTGTGGGTCGTCGATCCCTCGCCTAATTTTGAGCTCTCACCTTGAGCCGATCTTATTCAATGGATTGTGACTTTCTCACTTGAGTTTTCTATCGAATTTCCATTGATGGACTAGTGGACTCATTGGACTCTTCTATCTAAGCTTGAGCCCCGTACTATGATACTTTCTGTTTTGTCGAGCAAAACTAAACTAGCTGATTCTCTTTGGCCGGCCGGCGGAAAGTTTCAGCATGTTGAAACTTCTTGGGGTTAGCAGTGAAAGAAAGAGCCCGGCATTCATTTCTTCATGAATATTCATAGCTGAGTCTACTAAAAGTTTGTTGCAGAATCGCACAAGCACAAAATACATTCCAAATGAATCAGCATTAGTGAAATGGGTAAAGTTAACAAACTTACATTAAGTTTGTCCTTCCGCTCATTCAGCAGCTTAGCAGCGCCAAGAAGCATCGTTGTGTGGGCATCATGTCCACATCCATGCATTTTGCCAGCAACTTTGCTCTTATGCTCCCATTCAACAAGCTCCTATGGTTATATTCACTCGAGAATAATGTTAGAGACATTCCATAACTAAATATGCACACTATTAAGAATCTTTCATGCTAACTCCACCTATTTAAGCTTCACAAAGCATAGCCAGTTGCAAATTCAAATAAAGTTGGAGGATTGTGCTAGGTTGATAACCAGTGTATAAATAATTTAACTATATTGAATCCTCTCAATTAGATACAAGAAGATTCATATAACTAGGGGCAGAGCAACCTTGTCCAAGGGGAGTCAACTGACACCCTTTGGGCCGAAAAGTACACTGGGTAAATAGGTCAAATTTTTTTTCTTATGTATATACACAATATATTGAATCTCCGTGGCTTTCTTAAGATTCACGATTGAGGTATAATTGATTGATAGTAAAAAGAAAAATTGTGTGTAGAATAAGAAGGTGGCTAAGGATTTGGGACGAACCTGGAGAGGAAGGGCATCCATATCAGCTCGTAAAGCAACAACAGGAGGAGAACCGGTGCCAATTTGAGCAACAAGACCAGTTTTGGCAAAAGGGTATTCATAATAAATGCCAAGTTTATCGAGTTCAGTACGAATGAGAGCACTGGTGTTATATTCTTGGAATCTGAGCTCTGGGTATTCATGAATTTTCCTTCTTATGGATACTAACCAATCATTATCTTCTATTGCTGAGCTCAGTACCTGCTTACCATATTCTTGATCAAAGTAGCTACCTTGAATGGAATGTAAGAGGATGAAGCACAAAATCGACAAAGGTAAAAAAAGGGGGAAATGAGAACATGTTGCCAGTTTTTGGTAAAATTCCATTCGCGATCAAACAGTAAAGGGGATATTTACAACTGGAGTAGCAATCTCTGTAGAATACCTGAAGATTACTTTACTGGGGTATAAGAGATCATTTTCTTGAACTATTGGGTGTTTGACACTTTGACTCGGGGTACTTATGTGATTTTGTTTCATTTTATCGCTGTTTTCAATGATAAAATGATCAAAGAAATTTTATTCTACTTCAGGGACCTCCTATTTTGCCATTCTAAACCAAGAAGAGAAAATGATCTTTTTTGCTCACTTCTAATTTGAATAGAAGAAATTGTATATAGTCAATTCCAAATTCCAAATTTCAGCTTTAGAATGTTTTTGAATCCGATCCCTAGCCCACTCGGTAAATGATTTTTGTAAGGGTACATAATGAACACTTGTATGGTATGTCCCCAGTCCCATCAAACTTGTTAAATGCTGTTGAGGATTACTCAATGATTACTTGTTAAATGTATTAATAATGTTGGGATTAGGGAATTATTTCTTATCTACTTTTTGGTTTGGTGTTAATAATTTTTTCTCCACATTCTTTGCAAAGAATTTGAAAAAGATTTTGAAAGGGCAATTTTGCCTTTATACATGCTTATCCATGTATTAAAATTATTGTATTGCTAATGTCATAGTTTGCTATGTATAAGAATAACACGGAATAGGGCGTATAACTGATACATGTATGAGTTATACATAGGTTGAAAAATACTACCAAACAAAGAATTAATAATTCCAAAGTTATATGCCCTAATACATCCTACCAAACCCAACCTAAGAATTACTCAAGTCAAGCTAGGAGCATGAGGGCGAAAGGTAAAACTTGTATAGTTTTTCTACTTTTAACTTTTTAAAACAATATTTTATATATATATTGAACTCTTTATGTAATCAAAAACTACGTAAAAACTACATTAAGTCATAGTTTTTATAATTAAAATATTTAATATCAGGCTAAAACATTTATAATAAGAGGAAAAAGTTATTTGACTCTCTATAAATGATCATGTTATACAAATCTTTGGATAAGATCCAAATTAACTGAATCTCCATACACCATATGGTACTGTTCCGGAAACTAATGTAATAAACGAGCCAGTTGTAAACTATACTACTGTTAACTTACAATCTGTCTCAGCTCGAGCTCCTCTGCTATAATCACAAGGAGATAAAAATCAATAAAACAGGTAAGCGGGTTCATGCTACCCAAGCACCTCTTATCATCCATCTACAACTTATTTACAAAATTACGTTCGGGGATGCAGACTATCTCAGCTTAAAGCATATCCCCAAAAATCCTAAGAAGACTACGATTACACTTACAGCTACGAGTGCCTTGGATATGTAGAAACTTGATGAAAATGAACTCAATGCTGCCATCTTTGAAGCTTCATCGACTGGAAAATCATATGCATCTTTAGCATTTGCACTCAAGTCCTCAGCCACTCGACCATACCCTTTAAATTCTTTGCACATGGTATCTTGTGTCTTATCACCGCAGATAGCAGCTCCAGCAGTAGAACTGTCTTCAATGGAGAATTTTTCACTCTGCACATGCCAATTATAATATATTTCAGTGATGTCACTCATTTTTTTTTTTTTTTTTTTTTTTTT